TGAAATGTCACAAAATAATCCATTCTGTCAAAAATTATTTAGTGATTCTAAAACAATTCCCATATTAATTGAGCATTTGAGGGAATCTCCAGTTGTTGCGCGTAGTAGTCTACATGCGTTATCATCTTTAATAAACAATTTTGAGCTAGGCCTTCAGGAGTTTTTGAAGGCAGATGGAATAAACGCTCTTTTATGCTGTTTATGCAAAAGTGACTCGAAACTAATGCTAAGGGCTTGTTTTTTAATTGGAAAATTAGGACAACGCGAAGATTTAAGAGATGGTATGGTCGAGAAATCGGCAATTGTACAGTTGGTGAGATGTTTACCTATGACTTTTGATAAATATGATATAAATGTGGAAACAGCTCTCTATGCACTTTGTGAACTTTTAAAGAGTGATAAATGGAAAATTGACAATGGCCAGGCAGAAAAATTAAAGGTTTTAACTGGTGGCATTGTCAGGAATAAATTAGCTTATCCAGAAGATGAAGAAATCTATGGGTACGCGAGTGAAATTCTTCAGAGAATCAATGACCATCTGGCAAAAATTAAGCAATATTAAACTAGCGTAATATGAATTATGAACAATTGTTTTTAATATAAGATGTCATACAAAAAGTTTATACTGAATAAAATAATATACTGTGGATATTAGTTGCGTTCGACAAGTCAAAAATTTGTAAAAGTTCTTCCAAATTTTTACTGGATGGCGTTGGATAACGACAAAAAATTATCCAACACACAAACATTGAGAGAGCAAGTGTTCATTTTGTACTGGCTACATTTTAGTCAGCAAATAGTCTGTTCCAATAGCAGTCCAGTTTACAGGATTTAGTCAGAACTTGCAGGAAGTCGTTCCTATTGACATAAAGCCTGTAAGTGNACTGTTCCTAGTCAGAAGTTACAGGATTTAGTCCGGAGTTTTTTTTCCTGCAAGTTCCTGAAAACTGTCAAATGATCAGCTGATTTACATGTGCAAACAAAAACAGAAAGCGGTGAAAGCAAAGAACCTTATATTTGTTAAAAAATGGAAGTAAACAACGAAATATTTGAATATGTATAGAATTTAGTAACTAGTTANTAAGTTCATGAAAAGTGTCAAACGATCAGCTGATTTACATGTGCAAACAAAAACAGAAAGCGGTGAAAGCAAAGAACCTTATATTTGTTAAAAAATGGAAGTAAACAACGAAATATTTGAATATGTATAGAATTTAGTAACTAGTTAGTGATATTTCAGCCAAATCAGTGTTGTACCAATAACATGTAAACAAACAAACTGACGTTTTTACAGGAAATAGTGCTTTTTGCGTTCCTATGCACTTCTGCATCTGTTCTCCTTTTACTCTCATTTGAGAGCGTAAAATTGTAGTTTGACAGTTCCACAGGTTTTAGTCCGAAGTTCAAAGGAACAGACTAAAAAATTGTCCAACAAGAAAACATTAGTCTGTTCCTTTGAACTTCGGACTAAATGTGGAACTGTCAAACTACAATTTTACGCTCTCAAATGAGAGTAAAAGGAGAACAGATGCAGAAGTGCATAGGAACGCAAAAAGCACTATTTCCTGTAAAAACGTCAGACGGTTTGTTTACATGTCATTGGTACTACACCGATTTGGCTGAAATATCACTAAATAATTATTAAAATTTATACATATTCAAATATTTCGTTGTTTACTTCCATTTTTTAACAAATATAAGCTTCTTTGCTTTCACTGCTTTCTGTTTTTGTTTGCACATGTAAATCAGCTGATCGTTTGACACTTTTCATGAACTTACAGGAAAAAAATCTCCGGACTAAATCCTGTAACTTCTGACTAGGAACAGTTGCTCATTTACTCTCTCAAATGTGTTCCCACTTACAGGTTTTGTGTCAATAGGAACGACTTCCTGTAAGTTCTGACTAAATCCTGTAAACCGGACTGCTATTGGAACAGACTACATATGATCACAAAACATATGGTTGTAATTTTTGTAAACAAACAAAATTGCATTTTTTCGGTTTTTGGTATTTATATGCTTTTTGGCTGCCTGCTATGTGACTTTATGATAGTGCCAACTAGTTTTTACTTCTAGAAATGTTCCTGGCGAACTTTGAACGTTAACTTTCCTTTTTTCTCCATGGAGTCAACATGAATTTCAGTTTGTTTACAAATAAAACAATCAAAGTAAGCTGGTGTGTCTTCTTCCGGTTTTTGCAAGTGATGGCTTATTTCCTGTTCGTTTACTTTATAGCTTTTCCTTGTCTTTGGGAGAGAATTTTCGCTTACGCTCTTGAGTTTGATTGTTGGCTGGTGTTGGCTAATTTTGTTATCGAACGCAACTATTGTAAAAAATTCATGGTAAATTTTCGTACATAACTGAATTCATGAATTTTTGTTTATGCAACCAAGGGAGGGACTTTAGTATTCAGCAGCACCCTTTGTCTTAAGAAGACCAGTTGAAATTAACAAATGAAACTTGGTCAGGATAATACGCGAGGTATCCTCTAAAACACGTATAACTAAAAATATTTTAATTTAATTTCATCTATTAAAAGAAAATTTGGGTAATTCTCTAGGGTGGGGTAACAACCCCTAAAAAAGGTGCGTAAAAGTCGGGAGGGGTACCAAACGACGCGTTTCGGCCCTCCTAATAACGAACCGGAGGGGGNGATAATACGCGAGGTATCCTCTAAAACACGTATAACTAAAAATATTTTAATTTAATTTCATCTATTAAAAGAAAATTTGGGTAATTCTCTAGGGTGGGGTAACAACCCCTAAAAAAGGTGCGTAAAAGTCGGGAGGGGTACCAAACGACGCGTTTTGGCCCTCCTAATAACGATCCGGAGGGGTGGAGATAATATTATTAACCGTTTAAAAGTTATGAACAAAAAACTTTTGT